AGTATTGAGGTCCATTGGATCATCCAGATATATAGTATATTTTGGAGAGGTCAGCAATGGTAGCCAATTTGTTTTTTTATCAGCACAGTTTTCTTTAAAATACTTTTTTTTTTTTTTAATTATCTCTGTATTTGTAAATGCAATTTGTTTCTGTCACCAGAAGCAGAACTATAAATGATTGGCCCATAACAAATCCAGCTCGCCAGACTACCTCATGACAGTTATCTCACTAAGGACCTTTTAAAATGAAGGATTCAAAATTCCATATGCAGACTGCTAATATAATAATTGTGTACTTTACAATTTGAATGAATTCTTGTCTGAATATGTCATCTCATATTCAGATGGCAAGGAGGGATGTTGAGGGATACTTTTTTCTATGTGTTGTTCCCATAGCAGGCTCACAGTTTGCTCTAGATTGTCACTTAAGCATATTTGCATACAGCATGAAAAGACTGCCTACACACTGGCTGGCACACAAGTGCCTTTCCTAAATGATTATGTATACTACAATATATGTACATTTCATCATATTAATATGGCTCTGTGTAACTTCCTATAAAAACATGATTTGAAAGCATGTTGTAAATTCTACCTTTTAAAGGTCTGGTGTACTTCAGGATTATAGCCAATATGGTTTTTATCTAGTTATTCTCTTATCACCTAGTTCCAGTGACAAGTGTTGGCATTGCTCTAAGACAACCCACTGGCCAAGTTTTTTTTTTTGTCCAATGTTTGTGAGGCTACTGCCCAATGTAACATGTTGTACAGTACACAAAGCAGAGAAGCTTATCCAACACACTAGACACAATAATCAGTTGGTATATAGGGCAATGGGAGATAGAAAATATCATTCCTGTTTGATTTTCAAGTGTAACAAAGTGAAGTGAGCATCATCTGTTTCGGTTAGAGAGGAAAAAACAACAACCTGGAAATGCAACTAAATGCTCCATTTCAAATGAAATGTAATTATAAGCTTTACAGATTGAATCAACAAGCCATAAAGATCACAAGAGGTGATGTTAGAATAAATGATGTTAATTTTTCATCATTTTCTAAATATTTTTAACAGTGGAAAAATTCAGTTTGAGAAGAAAAGAAACCAGATGTGAATATTTGGGAGTTTTGTTTTATTAATTTCCTTATATATGTTGTAAATGTTTTTAGGTCTCCTGCACATGGGCAGTTTAGGGGATATCATTAAGATTGCTACTAGATTAAAAATATTCAATCTTGACCATGTAAAATAACCTGATATTAAAACCTAATTAAATAAATAACAATAGTGCTGTACACCCCAGCACTTATTTTGTTTGCATGCCAGTTTTTCTTTTAACAGTGTGGCTGCTTACAAATCATTGTGTAAAAGTTCCCCACTCTCAGGTTTCTTTCCTCAGGTTGCTCTGACTCCTTACAGCAGGAGATGGCAAACTCCAGCCCTCCAGTTGTAGTGCAACCACAAATCTTGCTAGCCATTGCAAGACTCTGACAGCCACAGGCATGACTTTCAAAGATGGATGCATAATAGGATTTGTAGTGTCACCACAGCTAGAGGGCCGGAGTTTGCTTAGCTCTTACAGGGACCTATAGAGCCATCTTTGTGTGTTCATTACTGCCTGGATATATAATTTTAGCCTACTTAACTTCCACTGAAGCTGATGATCAGTAGAACCGAGGGGCTGCTGTACGGGCTATTCACAATAGCGCGTACAGCTCCCGAACTTAGCCGAGCGGCTCAGTCGAGCCGAAGGCATATGCCTCAGCTCGGCTGAGCCGCGCTGAAAGCTGAAGCTGGCCGGCCGACAGCCTGCTTCTAACAGCTGGGCGGAGCCAGCCGTGATCTTACGGCTGGCTCTGGCCACTTGCAGAGAGATCAGCATCCCTGGTTACCAGCTAACCAGGCACACTGATCTCAAGACAGCAAACTCTCCTGGGTGCTCTGGGAGTCTCCCGCTCCCGGCCACCAAGGAGAGAAACACTGCTTTTTCTCTTTTTTTCTTTATTCTGACACGGAGCCGTGTCAGAATAGAAAAACAAAATTTTGCCAATAGGAATGCATTGCTAGATTCCTATTGGCTATTTCAATTTGCAATAGCCAATGGTAAACTAGCATTGCACTCGCCCTCTGCTGCAGTTCTCCATCAGATCCATCAGAAGAGGGCGGGTAAAATGCTAGTTTACTATTGGCTATTGCAAATTGAAATAGCCAATAGAAATCTAGCAATGCATTCCTATGGGCAAAATGTTTTATTTATTTTTTTCTAAAGAAAAAGCAGTGTTTCTTTCCTGGGCGGCCGGGAGAGAGAGACTCCCAGAGCTCCCGGGAGAGGTTTTTTTTCTTTTTTTTGACGGCAGCAGAACCGCCGGACACTAGAAAACTGTTAGGCGGAGCTAGCTGTCATTGCTAGCTCCGCACAACCGTTTTCTATTTATTTTTTTGTACTTTTTTAACTATTTTTCTTTTCTGCTCGGTACCCCTTTGAGACCGAGCAGAACAGCCGAGCCGAATGCTGCTCAGCGGCATTCGGCTATTAACTCACTGCTGTTCGGCATCTATAAGAATAGACCGAACAGCAGCGAGTTCAGCGAGTTCAGCTCTCTTCACTTCAGGTCGGTCTTTCACTCGGCTGCCTACGGCAGCTTAGTGAACAGACCCCTAAATGTTTGGGCACAGATATAAGGAAAATATGCATGGGCAACCAAGTACATGTACAAAGGCAGAGGGTTTAATATTACTTTAAAGCTAAACTCTACACAGGTATAGTGTAAATACCATTTAACCTTGTTATGTATTTATTAAAAAATAATAAAATGTACGTTTACATAAAACTAGCATAAGTACAACGTAATTGTGTAATTATATCAGCTTTTCTAATCTATTGCTTTATGGACAATGCTGTTCTTTACACCCTGAGTATGGTTACGGGAGGAGAGAACAGAAAGTTGACCTTATTAGTGAGCTGCTGCCTTTTCTTTGCATTTAACTTTCATATGTTGTGTCACTTCCATTAAAGCACCGTACCACTCAAAACTGAAAAATACAGCAGTGGTAACAAAAATTGAGTTAGTGGCCATAGAAACCAATCAGATTCCTGATGGCATGTACCTGTTGCAGATTAGTAGACAAACCTTTTGCCTTGGACAGCTTTTACGTTTTCTTTCCTTCAGTTTATATACAAAATGCAGTACACAAATTGATGTGTATATCTATGGAAATCAGCAAAATGAATGGTTTTGGGAAATCACAATTATACAATTCTCCTGAAACAGAGCATGCCATATCCTACAGTCTGCAGAGATTCCTATTATAAAAATTCCAGGAGACAGGCTTATTTAATTTTGGAAATTTTAACAAATCAGGTGACTAGGAGCACATATATCAGGAGAATCAGAAAAATAATAATTCACCTGAAAGAAACTGACCCAGTTTGTTTATTTACAAGCTTTCACAGACTGATTCACTTATCTCTATACCCAAGGTATTTTATCTGTCTCCTCCTCCCCTCAACCATCAACCATTCATCTACACAGCCATAAAGTGTATTTAAACCCAAAAATAAAAATGACATATATTCCAGCTTGTCAGTCCTCAAATGTGGTGGCTGCATTAAATTTCTTGTTTTTCCCCCGTTATTTTCACCTGGTGATCTGGCCACTAACACACTTCATGTCTTAAGCTGGCCATACACCTATAGAATATCTGGAGATTTTCTATTGTCAGATGGAAAAAGTGCAACAGATTCCTCCATCTACGCTAAACTGTGTGGATGGAGGAATCTCCCGCTGGGCCAAGCTTCAGTATCTTGCTAGTCGATCAAAATACTTGAACAATCTGATTGGATGCAGGCATTGTTCAGGTATTTTGACAGCAAGCGGCGCCAGCTTTAGAGTGGCTCCACTCTATGGAGAAGCAATGGAGCCATCATTGCACAGCAGCATCATCAACCTGTGAAGAGGGTAGTCTTAAGGTGCCCATACAAGAGTTTTGTCTTGCGATGGTTGTAAGCTTATTGAAAGCTTGTACGATCTGCCCATCTTGGACGAGCAGGTCGTACTTGCGATCATCGAAAGCCCGCCCCGCTGAGGGGCGGGCTTCCGATCACTGCAAACGGGCAGTGTGCGCGTGCGCACACCGGCCCGTTCGGCAGTTGTCGAACAAGCAGGCCACTAACCCGCCGAGAACCGTACGATTCTCTGCGGGTTTTCATGCCTGCTTGTTCGAAGGAAGACGTGCGACCGTACAGTAGAAATGGTTGCATGCCTTCTATACACTGTACGATTATCGTACGATCGCAGGATTTCCCGCGATGTCTCCAACCTCTATCTGCCCCTTTTGCTAGACAGCTTGGTCTGCTAAAGGAAGTTCAAAAATAACAGACTTACTAGCTGGATTACCAGATAAAATAAAGAGACACAAATCAAAACTAATGCAGCCGCCACATTTAAGAATTGTTAAGCTGCAAGAAATTACATTTTTACTTTTGGGTTTAAATATACTACAACCAATGAATATAATGGCATCAAGGTGTCTCTCCAGACAAGAATATACATTGGCATTGCCCGTCTCTCAGATAAATACATTTGAGATTTATTGCTTTATTTAACAAGGTAGTGCAGAGACCCGAGGTGTGTAGTACCCATAGCAGGTACACAGGTTATACCTTGTGTGTGTTTTTTGTTCAGTCAGTTTATAATGATTGCTGTATGATTTATGTAAATAACTGCAGTGTTATTTACCTTATTATACAGAGGTCCCTGTGGTGAGTGGAATCGTCTATTGGTAATATGCTGTGTGCAGATATATCTGAGCTACCAGTAACACACATTATTTTGGTTTAATTGGTACATAGTAGGTAATATCTGATCTATCTGTGAATATTCCATCTCAAACTTATCCTTGGCCACTGAATTCAGTCAATGGAAATAGAGATTCACCAACTTTATATATCTGCATTATTTTACTTGCCAGCAATCTAAGTGATATATATAATCTGCCAGAGATGAAGTATAGAAATCTAAGTGATTGTTTCTTTTTTTTATCTTTTTACAGTTTTCTTCTTGTCTTCAGCTGCTTAATTTTATCAGTGTTTTCCACCATCCCTGAACATCAAGAACAAGCTTCGTATTGCCTTTTTGTCCTGGTAAGTGATGTCACCAAAGTACTCACTAAATGAATGATTTGACATATCTCAAAGTTTAAATAGGTAAATTAATATATGGAAATGACTAAAATCCATTTAATCAGGTAGCCCAAGTCTGCTGATTTAAAATACTGAAAAAACGTTTGAGAACATTTCCCTAGCAAAGTAAAAACCCATAGCAGATACTGTACCTGCTGACAGTTAATACTGAAAGGTTATAAATTTATTTCTAGAATATGAACAGATTTAGGACCTCCTGATTCTAAGACATACTGTATGTTATTCTTCCCAATATGCACACTGTCTTGACACACAATGGTGTTCTACACTGAAGCTACATACAGGTGAAACTCGAAAAATTAGAATATTGTGCAAAAGTTCATTTATTTCACTAATGCAACTTAGCCGTCTACCAGGAGATTTTGGAGCACTTCATGCTTCCTTCCGCAGACGAGCTCTATGGGGATGCTGACTTCATTTTCCAGCAGGACTTGGCACCTTCCCACACTGCCAAAAATTTTCTGAGATTGTTGATCTGGGTTTTCATGAGCTGTAAGCCATAATCATGACAATTATAACAAATCACGGCTTGAACTATCTTGCTTTGCATGTAATGAGTCTATCTCATATATTAGTTTCACCTTTTAAGTTGCATTAGTGAAATAAATGAACTTTTGCACGATATTCTAATTTTTCGCGTTTCACCTGTATATATGTAGCTGAAGCTACATATACAAATACATTCTGCTGTACAAAGCTATAAGCTATGCATGTTTTGAATTCTCTCAGTTCAAGCATGGCAGTGTAATGCTTCATAGACTTTATCTTATCCTTGACGTAGCTTGTTCATGTATTCATTATTGAACTTTTAGGATTGTGACGAAAACAGAGAAGCTGATCTATTTTGACATTTCAAACCATGGTGAGAAACAATGGTGTACATAGCATGGCATAGTGGTTGGTGGCAGACTCAGGCTGTAATAATAAACCCCTCCAGCATTGGTGGTCAGTGGCAGGCTCAGGAAACCCGCATAATTACTGGTTAGTAACATGTTCGAAGTGTAATAAGAAAAGTGTTGGTGGCAAGCTTACACTGTAATAATAAACCCCCCAGCACTGGTTAACTTACCTGAACACATGCTCCCTAGCTGCTGCCTCTTGGCCAATACTATACTTTTGTTGTGCAGAGACAGTTCTGTCTTCATTCATCTAGTGCAGGTTGCTGGAGCACAGAGAGCATTCAAGCAGCTGTTTAACTGCTGCCACTCTGCATGTTGCTAGGGGATGCATCAGGGCACCCTGAAGTGGCAGTACCAAGAGCAGCCTGTTGTGCCCCCCCCCCCCATAGGGACACCGCTGGAAGGAAATTTGTATGTGACAATAACTGTTATTAACAGATGGGCTTTGAAATTTGATGTATGGTTGTAAGGAAAATCAACAAAAGTGCCATAATGCATGCAATGTCTCTGACTTTCCATTATTATTACATTTTTGCATCTATTATCAGCATGATGCCATGTTGTCATAGTAGTAACATGGTCCCAGAGTCAGTGATTCCATGTTACCAGATTGGTGCTGTACTTCAATTATAAAGCCTAATTTGATATGGCCATTAAGTTGTGTAGACCAGGAGGTGGCTGTGTGGTATGTTAACCGGCAATAACAACATTGATTGCATCCAGCTAATTTTTTTTGCTGTCTGAATGTTGATACCTGTAAAACTACTGAAGCAGTAGGCACAACAAACATAGATCCCTTTTGGATCTTTACAAGATTGAGGTGCAACTCATGATAGAGGGACTTGGTATAAAACATGCAAATAAATAGAGCAAATTAGAAGAGTTCTAATTATCTAGCTGAAGCAAAGTGGAAAAATTCTAATTACAGTAACCCATGATAAGTATGAAACTGTTTACAATACACAATATAAAGAAGTAAAGTTTTCCCCCAAACTAGGTATTCCCCCAGTTATGCATGTATATTCACTTCAACTATGGATGCCATCACAGCTTTTGGTTCTTTTGATTAAACTTTACATCTGTAGATCATTCCTCTGTCACAGATATGGATTCATAATACCTTTATGCAGAAAAGCATAAAATACATTTCAGGCAAGTAAAAAAAGTAAAAAGTAAAAATCAATATTTAGCCTGCAGTATTTATTATAGGAGCATGCACAAATAAAAGAGACGTATGTCTTAGAAAAATATAGGCATAACATGGGAGAAATTAAATGCTAAATTTGGAAATACTGTATATGCGCACTGCCCCCATTCCAAAAGTTAGTGGCTAATTTTCCAATAGTTATTATATTTGTAAGAGAGATAACTGAATGTTTCAAGTATTGCTTGTCATATAGAAAGGTTCATTTTTCTCCATTGTGCCTAAACAAATATATAGCTTACTGTCAACTCAGAATTACTACTGGCAGAGCAAACTATCGGCCCCTGAGGCTGTATAGGATTGACACTAACACCCAGTATTCATCCATCCCATATAACAGGACCATGGTAAATGTTACTGGAATAAAGTGCTAGTGCAGTGTTCTCTGTGCTGACCATCTGGAGAAACACTGGTCATAGAAGACAACCCGCATCAAACTGTATATTAGACATTTAGCTAAACTACAATGTGTCAAGCAATTCTGTTAGGGCCCATTTACTTCTCTGCATTTTTGGTTTGTTGCTTTGCAAGTGTGATGTGTCTTAAAATAATTGTATATGCTGTGCAAATCAATCTTTATAGAAGAAGCAGTTTCTGGAAACTAACAGGCTTATTCATAAATGGGTGAAGAGTTTGGAGAAGGCAGAAGAAGTGAACAATCTAGGACAACATAGCTGAACTGGAAAGTGAGCTGAATTGGAGAATTTTTCCAAATCCATTATGTTGTCCTAGATTGTTCTCTTATCCTGCCTGCTTCGAATTCTTCACCCTTTTGTGAATAACCCTGTAAATAAAACAATGCAAAGAAGATTGTTTTAAACGCACCACATTAGAACGCACAGATGTGAGCTGCAACAAAACCAACAGGTAACAACACATTATTGCACACATTGAGACTTTTCCCTTAGCTTAGTAAATGAGGTGAAGCTCTTCTGACTTCCATCATCCAATCATAAGCAAGCAAAAATACTGGTTTTTTTTTCCTTGCATGTGATTGGGTATGTGAATTTTTACCACATTTACTGAGCAAAGAGAAAATTCCTTTGCTAGTGCAAATTCCCTTGCAACGTGAACAGCCTATTTGCCCCTGACTTGTTACAGTGTCATCTAGTGCTCTTCATAATATATTACAGCTTTCTTTTTTAAATTAACAATGCTTAACTAATGTGTAAAACGTACAAACAAGTTGTAGCATAGTGACCTCACCGCACTTGGATTGCATTCATTTTTCCTCCTGTCCGTGTTACTGAATACCCAAAATGAGGTATGGACATAGAGGGGAGGAAGAGTCCGCAACAGCCAGGGCATTGCACCCGCAATCCACTGATCACAGTTGCAATACTTTACTGGCTCCAATGCAAAAAATAATAAATGCAATTTTTTTTCTCTTTTATGAAGAAGTATGCATCTATGTTTTTTCTAAAAGGTTTACTTTCCCTTTAACGGTAGGCCTCTGACTTGCTTGTCATGCAAACTCATAGGGAGTCAGCAAGCTATTTCTTTTTGCCTTTCACTTATGTTTACATTTATATGGCCAACAATGTTTTGGCTCCTTACTCTCACATGACATCATTTTTGCAATGATAGAAGTATTACATTCTTCTGTACCAGATTGTACCTGTTTAGATGGTCCTTTAACTCCAGTAGTATTAAACTCTCAATCTTTTTTCCAATAATGAATCCAGATCAGACAAATATACATTGCTCAGCAAAGTATTTCTATACATTTTTCCCACAACAAGAGATTGTAGGAAAGGGGATGCAATCACAGAATTCGAAGGGTTTTGTTTTTACTGTGAGAGTTGTAAAATTGTGGAATTGCCTTCCACAGGTGGTGGTCTCTACTGAGAGCATTGATAAATTCAAGAAACTTCTTGATGAGTTTTTTTATTTCACTTAATTTACAGGGATATGGGAAGTGTTAGAGCAAGATAACACACAATCACATACACACATACGCACACAGGTTGAATGGATGGACCCTTGTCTTTATGCATCCTCACCTACTATGTTACTTACAGAATCATGTTTCCAAACAGCTGACTCCAACTCTCTTAGCTCAGGGATAGAAGGCCTGAGTTATGAAGACCGCCTCCAGTAATTAAAACGTATTTACCTTAGAAAAGAAGCAATTACGAGGAGACCTAATTGCAGTCTTAGAAATCATCAACGGGGATCACAAACTGTTCAATCAGAAAACTGTCCCCCGAGAACGTTGATAAATTCAAGAAACGTCTTGATGAGTTTCTTATTTCACTGAATATACAGAAATATGGGCAGTGTTAGAGTCAAATAAATACAGACACGCAATTACACACACCCATACACCCATAGATTGAACAAGATGGACCCTTGTCTTTATTCAAGCTTACCTACTATGTTACTTCCTGTCCAGTACAAGATCACAAGGGACAGAGCAGTCTGCAGCAACTGTCCACCTACTAGCTTGGAGAATGAAGGAAAGATGAGAGGGTAGAGGGGGGAGGGTAGTGTCTTGCTTTGCCATGCCTGTGTGTTTGTGGAGACACACACACAGCTTACTAAGACACACAATGGTGGCTCCATAGAACCTTGCGAGGGAAAAGAGCCACTCTTAAACAGGATATCAGGACCAGTGCTCAGGGGAGCAGCTGATTCTGCAGGAAACCAACACATTTTAACATCAAGTAACAACATTCATTGTAAGCGATTTAATCAGTATTTGAAATAGCTTAAAAAACTTTTGACTTTAAAGTGGAAGAAAAGTTTTTTTTTTTTTAAATAATGCTGATTGGTAGACTTTTTATGGCAGAAGAGACTGTGTAAGTCACATTTTTCTACCGCTTTAATATCACTTT